GAAGTAAGGACTCATTATCCCTATGTTAAAGTTAGAAAATCTGAGACTTAAGTAACATGTTCAAAGTCACATAGTAAGTAATGGAACTAGGTTTTGAACCTGAAGCTGACCAATGCCAGATTCAGTTATACAGTAAGATGATATTGCTGCTATAAATAATTTTCTTTTCCATTTATCAAAATGCTTATTGCAACCAGGCATGGTGGCCCATGCCTTTAATCCTAGTATTTTGGGAGGCTGAGGCAGGGGAATCACTTGAGGCTAGAGTTCAAGACAAGCCTGAGCAAGAGTGAGACTCCAACTCTACAAAAAATAGAAAAATTATCCGGGCATGGTGGTACACACGTGTAGTCTTAGCTACTTAGGAAGCTGAGGCAGGAGGATCGCTTGAGCCAAGGAGTTTGAGGTTGCTGTGAGCTATTTTTTTTTTTTTTTTTGTCAGTTCAAGACCAATTTATTCTCAAGTTTTGCCAACACAGAAATACTCTCCTTGAAGTGCATCAAATCTTTCCATTCACTTTAATACCTCTTGCTTAAAATTTCAACTGCAATGCCCATATCCCTAATGCTAATCTTTTTTTCACTCTTGCCTGGGCTAGAGTGCAGTGGCATCATCACAGCTCACCATAACCTAAAACTTCTGGGTTAAAGCGATCCTCCTGCCTCAGCCTCCTGAGTAGCTGGAACTACAGGCATGAGCCAGTATACCTGGCTAATTTTTTAAATTTTTTGTAGAGATGGGGTCTCACTGTGTTGTTCAGGCTGGTCTCGAACTCCTGGGCTCTTCAGTGAGCTATGATGATGCCACTGCACTCTATCTAGCCTGGGTGACAGAAAGACCCTGTCTCAAAAAAAAAAAAAAAAACCAAAGTGCTTATTCCATTTATCAAAGGGAGAGGAGGGGGAAGAAGGAGAGGAGAGAGATTGGGAGAGATTGGTTTATTTTAAGGGATCGGCTCACATGAGTGTAGGGGCTGGCAAGTCTGAAACCTATAGGCAGGCTTCAAAACCCAGCAGGAGTTAATGTTGTTGTCTTGAGTCTTAAGGCAGTCTGGAGACACAATTCCTTCTCCTTTTGGCAACCTCAGTCTCTTCCCTATTGATTTCAGTGTTAATTATCTTAACGATCCCTTTAAAATTATCTTTAAAATACCTTCATGGCAACATCTACACTGGTGTTTGACCAAACAACTGGGTACTGTAGCCCAGCCATGTGGGGACACATAAAATTAACCATCACACTATTGTCAAATAAAAATTATACGAGGTATGACTCTTAGCAGTGGATCAAAAATAAAGAGAAAAAAAGAAAAGAAAAATTATAGCAGTCCATTGTTTTGGACTAAATTCTTAAAGTAGGTCCCAACAGACCAGACTAAAAATCAAAATGGAGTCACCCACGCTAAAGTTCCAAGTCACCAAACCTAAACTGAGTTGTTATCTGACCTTCAGGGAAATCAAGAGGAAGAGATAGCCAGTTTTCCAAACAAGCCAGTTTAAATCTTTGATCAGCATGATAATGAAGTTCCCTCTGCTTTAATTCTGGCACAAAAAAAGTACCCTAAAGTACCTGATACTAACTAATCAGTCATTTTTCTATTGTCCATCTAGAAGTAATTAATGCACTCTTTGTTCTTTGCTTCTGCTTTCTTCAGCCCTTCTCTGTCTATAAAGCCAACCTCTTCAGCTCAGCTTATTGGAACACTTATTTTATGGAATGAAATGTTGCCCCATTCTAGAATCATAAATAAAGACTGAAATCTTTAAATTTGTCATAATTTTGTCTTTTGACAATATATAGTACACAAAGTCACAGAAATGTAAGTATCTTAGCTACCAAAGTCCAATTTCCTTATTTTTTCAAATGAGGAAACAGATGAAAGAGAAGTACCAAGGTTACATAGATGCATTCACAGGAGTACATGCACACCCAAATTCCCAGAACCTCTCATAAACAGCTCACTACCTTCTAATAAAATTAGGTGGAAAAATTAAATCCTTCCAAAACCCTACTATTCTGTTTTGAAGAACTGGTTGGAAATAATCAGCAAGCAGATGGTTTTACTACTTTCCTCCAAATTAATGCTCCCCAACGCCTGGAAGTTGCGACTACCTTCAGATCAGATGGAAAGTCTGGAAATAGCTGACGCAACTCTCCCAGAAAGCAGACTTTTCTCTCAAGACCACGCCTGCCCCTCCCACCCCTGCCGGCCTCTCCAGTTTCACCTCTCACTTCTCAGGTTTCCTTGCACTAGAAGCTCCAGCTATGCTGTATTTCTTTTCATTCCTCCCCTTTTGCCTCTGAGTTTACAAACAAGCTCTTCGCCTCTGGGTCTGAGACACTCTGGTGCTACCCCTCTCCCCAGCCTGCACCCACCTTTTGCCTCCACCCATCCATTCTTCAAGTCTTGGCTTAGACTCTTAGATCCATTTCCCGGGAGGTGCTTCCCCACCCCACTCAACTGGGTACAGCTGTGGCACACTGTACCCTGCTATTTATTACCTGTTTATTTATCATACCTCCAACGAGTGTCTGGAGGGCAGAGACCATGGCTTATTCCATGATATCCCCTCATTAGAGTCTGTCACATAATAGACATTTAAATATTTATTGGGAGAAGAAAGGAAGGAAGAAAAGGAATGAAGAAAGGAACTTCTGTAGGCCCCTTCTTGTACTGTGCAGCTTAGATCTGACAACTGGAAGACAATCTGTGACAGCATTTGCCCAGAGAATCGTAGGGTGTAGAGTAACTTTGATCTTTTCAGGTGCCAGGAATCTTCATTTAGTGACCTGGCAGCCTTGGGATTTGCACTGATGGCTTGTAGGACTTTGGCAACACTGAGGAGTTACAGGTGTCAGGTAACAGGAATGGAGGGGGACCGATGATGCTTCCTGGGTATTCATGCGTGAACTGGACTGCACGTGTTTGGGATGTGAAGGACAAGGTCCCAGGATCAGGAAGTGGGGAGAAGAACCTGGTTAATGGCACGAAACAGTATCATCGATTCAATTACTACATATTGAATTTGAGGTGTTAGGAAAATATTCAAAATTACAGTTGAAAGGAAGCCCAAAAAAACTATAGCCCTTCATGAATTTGTCACCCTTATGTCAATTACTGCTATCAAAGAAGTGTCAAGGCGGCCAGTAGGCAGAGTGTTATTGCCCACTTGGCGCTTTGAAGGTCATCAAAAAGTGTCTCCTCCCTTTACTACCTATTATCATGTCAAGGTACTTGGAATTTGTAATTAAAGAGGTATTTGTTATATACCATCAAATATATGTTGTAGGAACACGTATCTCTGGAATGAAAGATAAATGTAGCAGTGGTTACCTCTGGGGAAGGGGGCTTTCGGGGTCAGAGGTGGGAGGGAGACCTATCTTCTACCATCTACCCGTTAGTACCCATTGAAATCCTTATCGTGTACGTAGATTTTTAATCTACAAAAGGAAATTTTTTTTTAGTTTTAAAAGTTGGAAGTTGTCAACAGGGAACTGACTAAATATAGTACATCCATTAAGTGGAATAATGTACAGTTATTAAAATGAAAAAAAAACATAGGTTTAGATGTACTGATACAAAAGCTGTCCATGGTGATTTGTTAAGAGCAAATTCAGAGTGTAAACATTAAAAATATACCCATTTAAAAATAATTGCCTCTATCCAAAAGAGCAAAAAAACATTCTATGATAAAGACATCTGCACCTGAATGTTTATGGCAGCACAATTCACTATTGCAAGAATGTGGAAACAACTCAAGTGCCCGTCAATTCATGAGTGGATTATTAAAATTCGGTATATGTATACAATGGAATATTACTCAATCATGAGAAACAACAGTGATCTAGCACCTCTTATACTTTTCTGGATTAAACTTAAGCCCATTATCCAAAGCGAGGCACCACAAGATCGGAAGAATGGGCTCCACTTGTACTCGCCATCAAATTGGTACTAACTGATCAACACTAGGGTGCTCACATGGCAGTAATATTCTGCAGGGATTAGGGGGATGGGGGGGTGTAAAGTCGCAACTAGAGGACACAGGGAGCATTGTAGCGGGGAAGGGCATGCCTCTAACCTTGGCTTGGGTGAGGCAAAGACATAAAGTGTAACCATAATGTTTGTACCCTCATAATACCCTGAAATTAAAATAAAATAAAATAAAATAATTGCCTTTAAATATGCATAAGGCAAAAAATGCCAAAAAATACACCAAACTGTTAATATTGATTACCTCTGCAAGATGGAATTAGAGGCTTTTGTTTTCTAAATTGTACATTTTGACATTGGTTGAACTTTTACAAGGAGTATATTACTTTATAATCACAAAAAGAGATAACTTAAAACAGTTCTATGGCATTGCAATAGTCCAAGAATGGAGGGAGGGTTATTATTTTCAGCAGTTGGGACAAATTTCAAACCCCTTGCTCCAGATGGAAAACCAGGCATATACTTGGAGTTTGTGCATTAGGGCAGGGAAAGTGGTATAGTATGGTCTTGGCTCACAGCAGCACCTCACTAACGTTTGATGTTATAATTGGGACTGGGACTGCAGAACAGATACCACTTGTCTTTTTCCCCAGTGCATGACAGTCTAGGTATTTATCACCAGGACTTTTAAAAAGATCGTTTCCACCCTTAAGGTCATTGCAATCTAAGGTAATCTAACATCCCTGCTTTCCTCTCTTTGCTCCTAAACAATCCAATTCTTTTCCCTATTCCTTCACCTTTCTCATCCTCCCAGCCCCCTTTTTAAAAATTGCCACAAGAGGGCAGCAGCCTCATGCACAAGAAAGGCACTAGGGCATTGGTAATCACAAAAAGCAAAAAAGGATGATGCCATTATAAAAATGTTACCAAAACTTCAGAGGTTTCAGCATCTTGTTCTGAATATGTGGGCAGCCACGTTTAATATTCTATTAGAAACTGTAAACAACGGTGGGAGAGAAAGTCATGCTGGTGAGTGGAGCTAATGTGTTTTCCTCTCTTCCAGATGCTGGCCAAGAAGAGGTGAGATAGAGAAGAGAACAGTGTAGAACCTAAGACTTAATCTTAATGTAAATTCTTGCACCAGGATGGAGGGGGAACCTTACCACAATGTAACCACCGTCAACAGCACCCCAGTAAATCACCAGCCTTTGGAACGCCACGGGTTGTGGGAAGTCATCACCATCGCGGCTGTGACTGCCGTCCTCAGCCTGATGACCATCGTGGGCAACGTTTTGGTCATGATCTCCTTCAAAGTCAACAGTCAGCTCAAGACAGTCAACAACTATTACCTGCTCAGCTTAGCCTGTGCAGATCTCATCATTGGCATCTTCTCCATGAACCTCTACACAACCTACATCCTCATGGGACGCTGGGCTCTCGGGAGTCTGGCCTGTGACCTTTGGCTTGCACTCGATTACGTGGCCAGCAATGCTTCTGTCATGAACCTCCTGGTGATCAGCTTTGACCGTTACTTTTCCATCACAAGACCCCTGACGTATCGGGCCAAGCGTACCCCAAAGAGGGCTGGCATCATGATCGGCCTGGCCTGGCTTATCTCCTTCATCCTCTGGGCCCCAGCAATCCTCTGTTGGCAGTACTTGGTTGGGAAGCGGACCGTCCCACCAGATGAGTGCCAGATCCAGTTCCTCTCTGAGCCCACCATCACCTTCGGCACTGCCATCGCTGCCTTCTACATCCCTGTTTCTGTCATGACCATCCTCTACTGCCGAATCTACCGGGAAACAGAGAAGCGAACCAAAGACCTGGCTGACCTCCAGGGCTCTGACTCCGTGGCCAACGCTGAGAAGAGAAAGCCGGCCCACAGGGCTCTGCTCAGATCCTGCCTCAGCTGCCCTCGACCCGCCCTGGCCCAGAGGGAAAGGAACCAGGCCTCCTGGTCATCCTCCCGCAGGAGCACCTCCACCACTGGGAAGCCATCCCAAGGCACTGGCCCAAGTCCTGACTGGACCAAAGCTGAGCAGCTCACCACCTGTAGCAGCTACCCCTCCTCAGAGGATGAGGACAAGCCCACCACTGACCCTGTTTTCCAAGTGGTCTACAAGAGTCAGGCCAAGGAAAGCCCAAGGGATGAATTCAGTGCTGAAGAGACCAAGGAAACTTTTGTGAAAGCTCAGACTGAACAAAATGACTATGACACCCCAAAATACTTCCTGTCTCCAGCTGCTGCTCATAGACCCAAGAGTCAGAAATGTGTGGCCTATAAATTCCGATTGGTGGTAAAAGCTGATGGGACCCAGGAGACCAGTAACGGCTGTCACAAAGTGAAAATCATGCCCTGCTCCTTCCCCGTGGCCAAGGACCCTTCAACGAAAGGCCTCGATCCCAACCTCAGTCATCAAATGACGAAACGAAAGAGAATGGTCCTAGTCAAAGAGAGGAAAGCAGCCCAGACCTTGAGCGCCATTCTCCTGGCCTTCATCCTCACGTGGACCCCTTATAACATCATGGTCCTAGTTTCCACCTTCTGTGACAAGTGTGTCCCAGTCACCCTGTGGCACTTGGGCTACTGGTTGTGCTATGTCAATAGCACTGTCAACCCCATCTGCTATGCCCTCTGCAACAGAACCTTCAGGAAGACCTTTAAGATGCTGCTTCTCTGCCGATGGAAAAAGAAAAAAGTGGAAGAGAAGTTGTACTGGCAAGGGAACAGCAAGCTACCCTGAAAAGCTGGCAACTCCTCTCAGCAGGACAATGACGATAGTCAACTTCCTCTGAGGATGGGCAAGCTGATTCTCATTTGTGTATTTTTTTAAAAGACATCTGTCATTTTGAGCCCCCAAGGAGTTTTGTGAAGGCACAAGGTCTTTTGTCAAAAGAAAGGAGTCACAGCTGCAGCAATTGCTGTCATATTGAATGATTCTTGCCTATGACCAAGGCCACCTGATGCCACTGGAGTTTGCCAATGAAGTAAAGAGAGACTCAGAGCCCTTCACAGGAGGAAGCACACTGGGTCACAGGGAGCAATGGTTTAAGGAACTTTTGTCAGCCTGCTGTGGGAAACAGCAGGGACCAGGTGGAAACCGTCCCCTACAGAAACCTGTCCTAGAGTTTTGTGCAATATGTATGTGTCTATGAAGTTGTCTTGTGCCAGTGAGAACCAGAGACTGTAAATCAGTGTTACCTGTTAACAAAAGTGATTATTCAACTGGCTTCTAAGAATATATTCTCAAACTGATCAGTATTCATCACACAGCTACCATGTGGTCTGTATGGTGGTATGTTTTCCTGTCCCTCCATCTGAGTGTGGCTCTTTCTCTTCCCTTTTATAACAGAGGCCAATTCCTGGTACTCACTGAAACCATGTTGATCCCTACATAACCATCCTTCCTCTGAGAATCCGGGCTCCAGAAGGACACTGAAACCTGGTTGCTTCTGTTCTGCTAATAAAGATGGTCAAGTCTCCACAGTCAGTTATTTTGGTTTTTACGAGGGGAAATTTTTTTTCCTATTATCTAAACAAATATTGTGCATTCTATTTTTGTGTCTATTTGAACCCATTTATTTATGTCACATTGTTAGGAGGACTAGCAGTATAACAGCCCCTCCCTGGGTAAGTATCTTCAGATTATTTAATCACAGTTCTCTTACATTGTTTCCAGAGGTCTTGCTTTCTAATCTCTGTACAAGGCAAACCTAAGCAAAATGTGGAAAATAAATTTGCTTTTCAACTTCTTCCAGAGCCTTTTTGCAGCCTCCAATTTCCCTCATTCAGATCCCCAATTCACACCCAGGCACAAGCAGGTCACTGTGCTGCCTTTAGGCAGGAGTGCTATTTGGGGGGGAAAACTGGGGGACTTTCCTTTTTTTTATTAGGTCCTTCAAATCTGGGCTCTGAAATGACTAACTTGTTCATTCCTCTCCAAATTCAAAGATGAGAAGCCCAGAAAAGCACAGTTGTGGCTCCAGTGAAGCTGAAAATGATCCGAAAGCTTTATCTTTAAAAACAGAGGGTAAGATCATAGTAATGCATAACAGTTAACATAGGCGGGGCGCGGTGGCTCACGCCTACAATCCTAGCACTCTGGGAGGCCAAGGCAGGAGGATTGCTTGAGCCCAGGAGTTTGCAGTTGCTGTGAGCTAGGCTGATCCCTTGGCACTCTAGCCTGGGCAACAGATTATTACTCTGTCTCAAAATAAAAAGTTAACACACATTAGAGTACCAGGATTATTAAAAACCAAAGTTAATAGACAAACCGAATGGTAATTCTGAAAATAAACTGATGTGTAAGAAATTGAAACTATAAAAGGGTGCATAAAATTACTAAAAGGTCCACAGAGAAAGCAATAGCGTGGTACACAAGGATTTTAAAGATGGAGCACTCCTGTCAGACAGAAGCTTGCTATTTAACCTGCTGATTACATCTGCAGCTGTGTTTAAAAATGGCCAGACTTCATTTTATTTAATGTAGGCCAGGGATTTTTCAGTCTCATTTGCTAAGGGGATGGAAAAACGCTGGTTTAATTGTCCTGGGAGTTAGGTATGTACTTTGTGTAGAAGATCTCCAACCTACCCACTGATAAGCACACCCAGCCTCCTACATGAAGTCCCAGAGGGCCTTGGGGGTAGCAGAATTCCAGGCAGGACAGGGCTGGTCCACTCAATCCTCTCCTCCAGCCCTATAGGGATTTAACATTGAGATGAAACATCTCAGAAGCAGTGTAGCTGCTGAGTCTTTGTGAAAGGCAGGTTGATACCTGCCAAGAATTTGGTAGAGAAAATTAATTGACTCAGTTCTCCTGGACAGAGGTTCTCAGGACTATGTGGTGCCAACAAGGTGTGGTTTCATGAACAAACCTGCTCTACCAGCTCCAGATAAAGTGGATTTTTTTCATTTAAGGCTTTGATTTCCAACAAAAATGAAAATTCATCCATGAGAATAGCAGCTTAATCCCATACTGGGCATTCACTGTACATAGTACAGACAGAAGCCAATTAAACAAAAGAACACAAAATGGGGAGGCTGTGCTGCTGGGGGCACACTTTAGGACTCAGCCTTTTTTGTCCACCTTTTATAAAATTAAGAGGCCTACGCTTCCTTCTTTATGAAAGCAGCCAGTTTTGCAGACTATCTATGTCCCTTGACATGGACAAAAAATATCCGAAACTGCTAGGGACAACTAGACGTCTGTAGAAAGGGCCTCTAGTGGGGTCCTCAGAATGAGCAGATCCAGTTGTAAACTACAGGGACCTGGCACGGGCCGACTTCAGATCTTAGGTCCTCTGTGCCCTCAGCCTTCCAAGCTGTCTGTGGTTACCTATGTACAGCTGTGATGAGTTACCTATTGGATGCTGCTATGTTGCTAACACTGTAATTTGTTACTTCTTGGCTGTGAATTTGATGGCTTGTCAGGGAATCTTTGTTTTCTGTACAATTTTCAGTTAAAGCATTCTGTCAATATTTCTGGCTTCTGCTTTGCTCCTTTGGTGAATGTCCTTTGAGAACGATGCGGATGTCAGTTCTTTGTAATTCTGAAATCTGTACCTAAACCTCTGGATTGGAACATCCAGTTGTCTACTGTAAATACTGGAATTACAGCAAAGGATATGGGGACTGGGCTGCTTTTCTGTATTGTACTAGCACTATTCCACATATTAAAGAAATTTAACCACAGTGGTCTGGTGCAAAGCTTTTAAATAAGAAAATCATTTCAGGTTAGCTTGTTAAATCCATCTATATGTAGGGATCCCTCACACCTTTGCGTGGCCTGGCCTTTTAAGAACACAGGGATTGAAAGCCTGGCACGGTGGCGCACACCTGTATAGTCCCCGCTACTCAAGGGGCTGAGGCGGGGATCCCTTGAGGCCAAGAGTTCACGGCTGCAGTGCACTACGACTGCGCCTGTGAATAGCCACTGACCTCCAGCCTGGGCAACATAGCGCGAGACCCTGTCTCTAAAAACAAAAGAAAAATTTTTTTAATTAAGAAAAAATTTAATAAAAAGAGAAAGGTTGGTACATAATATGGGCACACGTCCCTCTTGATATCATTTGTGATTTCCCTTTTCCTCTGACTTAGCAATGACCAAATTAAGATTAAATAATAATGATGCTATCTGTGACTAAAATGATGCCTTTTCCCTCTAGGACAAGGGAGGTGGGGCAGACCTCAAATCATTGCCCTTCACGTGTGGAGCCTTTGTACCAGACAGAATAGCAGCATTTCCTCTTCAGCTGTTGAAAGAGTTGGAGCCCAGGTCCCTTCATTCCCATTGTGAGTGACACTAATTTCCATCTCCCCGACATCAATTCACCAGCAAAGTTCAAAGTCAAAACTATACAAAAAGATACCCTCAGAGAAGTGTCACTCTATCCCCATCCTATTCGTCCCATTGCCACTCTCTCTGGAGGTACCACATTTCCTTCAGTCTCTGGTTTATCCCGTTTCTTTTTTTTTAACAAACTGCTTTAGCCACTTTTGCGTCCATATTTTAAAATATCATGCATATACTTTTATTTTGATTTTTTTGTTTAAGAAAATATCTACTGACTTCCTACCATGAAAAATATCTCTCACATAGTGATGTCTCTTACATAGTGATGACTTCCACTCCCCAAACACCCATCCCTCACACCCTCAATTTACAAAGCTGTGCATACACGAGTACCTCTGTGATCACTTGGGTACGGGGTGCTAGAGCTCTCCATCAAGCTAAGGATGTGGGTCCTACAAAACAAGACACTGTCTATTGTACCTTCTTGGAGCATCTACTGATACTGAGACTAGCTATGAAGACAAGTAGAACAAGTTGAACAACTCTGGAGACATTAAGTAATAACAGGCAAAAGACTGATCCTTAAATATTCCCATTAAACTCAAGAAGGCACAGTCAGCATTATCCTGCAATGGACTGTACTGTCCTGTTTCTCCTGATGAATTAATCCCTGTGGGCGGGGGGAGCTACAACCTTAAATTTATCTGTGATCTGTGATTAGGCAAAGAAAGCCGAGGCCTAGCCCTGCTCACTGGGTTCGACCATCATCCTATGTAAGTGTGCTTTATGTCGATGTATCCAGAAAGTTCTAACTTTATATTTTATATGGCTCTTGAACAAACCTTACACCACCAGATGCCTCCAAGGATGCCCTCGTGTTTCTGCCAAGAGTAGTTCTCCAAAAGATGTTGTTGTCCCAGTCCTTGGCAATGATTTTCTAGAGCAGGTTATCTTGTGTAAATGTGTCTGCAGTAGTGTCCTAGGAAAGGAAAGAGCACCCTTATCCTCAACAAGGAGCCGCCCAGACTCAACTCACTTGTGCCCAATATCACTAGCTGGGGAGCCGGTGTTTATTTTTAGTAGTTTCACATATATTTAAAGACAGGTTTATACTCCAGCTACTTTCAATCTAACGCCATGAAGCTATTGATCACGATGTACTAAGTATGTCATTATCTCCCCACCATACCATACAGTAGACCTCAGTGGAAAACACCACAGGCTGGAAGATGGCAAAGAGGAAAAGGTAATACAAATTTAAACTGGTATTGGAAGACCACTCCTACCCCTGAAAAACTAGATTTCCATGAATGGAAAGTCCTTTGATGGGTCCTTTGGTAACCAGAAGTTAGGGCCTATTCAAGAGTCAGAAACAAAATGAAATTGTTAACTCAAAACAAAAAAATACTAGGTTTTGTTTTATATATATTTTATAATATAGTCATTAATATAATAATATATATTATCTTGGGAAACAAATAAGCAAATAAAAAATTACCTGTAATTCTACCACCCACATATAACCTCTGCCAAATATCTTAGCATCTATCCTTCTAGTCTTTTTTTTTATTTATTTCAGCATATTATGGGGGTACAGATGTTTAGGTTATGTATGTTGCCCCTCCCCCCCAGCTCGCCCCCCCCCCCTTTTTTTTAACGTACGGGCACATACTTTTTTAAACACACAGAGCTGCTAAATACTGTGCCGCAATCCTCATGCTCCTATCTTGCAAAAAATATCCGACCATTCGAACTCCTCAAAAGCAGAAAATCACAGGCTTCGAGTACCACGGGGAGCTCCCATCCATACCTAAATGTAGGTTAGACGATTGCTTCTGTGCTTTTCCATGTCTGTTGGATGCACTCCGTACAGTTTAGTCTACAGGGATTATTATCATCAGGAATTCTTGAGAAGAACCAATTACTACCTGCAGGGATTTCTTAGAGAAAGACATAAAATCTACTTTTTAAAATAACTGTATTAGTTTCCTAGGGTTCCAGTAACACAATTCAACAAACTGGGTGAACAGTAGAAATTTATAGTTTCACAGTCTAGAGGCCAGAAGTCTGAAAACAAGGTGTCAGCAGGTGTTTCCTATGAAGGCACTGAAGAAGAATCTGTTCCAGGCCTCTCTCCTGGCTTCTGGTAGCCTGAGGTGTTCCCTGCCTTTTAAATGGCCATCCCCCTGT